TGTAAGTACTGAAAACAAAAGAAATAAATGAAGCCACTTACCAAGGATAGGAGAAACACAGTTGTAGTGTGTTTGAAGGTCACATTCTATCCCAGTTCCTTAAAAACAATAAGTGCAACATGTGAAGACCTTACTTTTTTTTGCTTTTTTTATTTCTTTCTGAGTTTTGGTGTGGAGATTGAACCCAGGACAGCATGAACACTAAACATACCATCTACCACTAAGCTACATCCCAATCCCAAGATTTTATATTTTATAAAGCCAACAACCTAACATCAAAAATAACTTTTTACCTACATCCATCCATCCATCCACTCATGCCCATTTACTGCTTTGCCAGATAAATGTGAAAGCATAGCCAATGAAACTTTATGTGGAGAGGAAGAATAATGTTTTTATTTCTTTCTATTAGTCTCCACAAATACAAAATCTTTAATTGGGAGTACTGTTCTTTAAATGTTGGCAGTTTCTTAATTTTAAAATTGCTTTCACAGTAATCATCTCATTTGATTCTGTCACAATTTTGTGATGTGGATATTATCATTTTACAGATGAAATAACTAAACCTCAAAAAATAGCTTGTCCAAGACTATGCAACTCTGCAGTTTGCAGTCAGTATGGTCCTGGGACATTCTGGATATCTTCTTTCCTGCATTTCTGTCTCCATATAATATATATATATATATATAGATACATACATTATGCATAGAGAGATAATATATATAGAAATAGAGAGAGTATACACACACACACATACACACACTTACTGGATGCTAGGGAAGGACAGATATGTACCATATTTGTTAAGCACCTGCTATGAATCTTGGGACAAAGAATAAAATCAATATGTATTCAAATTAAGTTTAATGCCAAGACTAATTCTGAAAATTTAATCTTTGAGCCTTAATAGAATATGTCTATTTGTCTCTGAGTTTAGCTACAATGTTTAATTAACAATCCTGAAACTAACCAAAAGAGATTGTTCACTTAGAATTGTGGACACTTTGTAGAATGCTGTCAAGCTATAAGGATGAGCTCTTTGTGAAGGAACTACAAGGAAAAACAGAAAAATCTGCCCAACATGGCTAGTAGAAAGCAAATTATTCCTTACTTCTTCTATAATAATATTTCTTTTCCTGTAAATGACAATGAAATTTTGAAATCAGTGCACAAGCCAGTGGTGGAATTACTTTAGCTAATTCATTTTATGTCTATAAGTTTCAGTTTCCTCATGGGTGAGTAGACTTAAAGGGATGGGAGATGATCTAACCAAATAAGGTAATAGTCCTGAAAGCTCTTGGAGCTATCCTAAAGTTCACGTGCCCATTGCCATTATGTTTTGTATAGCATCTTGCCTGGTCCGTATTAATTACTTTGTTTGTATGTTATAATAGTAAGTTGTTTTTGTTTTCCCTTTGTTTATTTTTCAAATAGCCTCTCATTATGTAGCTCAGGCTGGCCTGAAATTTGCCATGTCTTCAAACTTCGATGCTCCGGTCTCAACGAGTGCTGTTACTGGCATTCACCACTACACCTGGCTTTATTCTTTTAAATTTGATTGATTGATTGATCGATTGTAATTTTGGGAATTGATCCCAAGGCTATGAAGTATAAACATGAATCAATACAGCCTTGTTTTCAGTAACACTGACAATATAACTGGGAATGGAAAATCTGAGCCAGAGCTGGAGGTTTTATGGAGTGCCAGTTTGGGAAGGGACCAGAGGTGAATCATTTAGATTTGAGAAGGAGAGAAATAATGATTTGAAATTCCTGACAAATAGTTTTCCATGTAATAGTGTTGGCCAAGGAAGAGGTAGCATTAGTATATCTGTAAGAGTCTATGTATTTGTGTTTGTGAGCAAAAAAGTGGGTGGAGATGGGGTAGGGAGGAGAGAGAAAGAGAGAGAGAGAGAGAGAAACAGAGAGAAACAGAGAGAAAACGTGAACAGAGGGTGAATGAACAAATCTAGCATAAAAATGCCCAGTGTTTATGTAGACTACATATTTTCTGTGCCAGCAACTTTTAAAACCACTTGAATCTCATTTCAATCCTTATCATAGCCCTGTCAGGCAGAGCAAATGTTTCCTCATGTTAGAAGAAGTAGAGGAAGGTTCAGCATCTTGTGTGGGATCCTAGAGATGAGACCCTGTAAGCACTGGGTCAGATACAGCACTTCCCCTCCTGGCTCTATTACCTGTTTTGGTGCTTTTTTGGTTCTGGAAGTGTCTCAAATTATCTGCAAAGAAAGCTTGAAGTTTCCTTCACAAGGTAAGGAATTCCCAGCAGTGAAAACTTCAGGGTTGATAAGACACATGACCTAATTTTTCTTACAAATTAGCAAACCCTGATATGCAGCTTTCAAGTTTTGAGAGCATCCTATTTTAACTTTTGGAAATAAGAATTGAGGACCTACCCTGGTCACACAATTTTCTTTTCCAAAAATTCCTGCTATGATTCCATGATTTCAAATGTATCAGGTGAAGTTCCATTGGCTAGCAGATCATTTTTCAGCATAGAATGGAGAACAATGAAATGACTCACTGATTTCTGCATTTCAAATTAAGGAAATACAGTTAAGTAGGGAAAAGTTGCCCATCTTTGTTTACCTGGAAGCAGGAAAGGCAAACATCCACATCGGTTTATTATGTGGTGGGCCTTGCATTCTTTCAAACAAGCGTAAGTGCTGTAGCTAGGAAAGTTCTGCAGCCTCATGTTAGGGTTGCATTCTCCCCAAGGGTACTCTTGATGGACCGTCTGAAGACAAAATAAACACCTTCTTTAGGAGATTCATCTAAGTCAACTATCCATTTTCCACCAGAGAACCTGACACAAATTTCCCCTCAGAGCTCTTTGATTTTCAAAAAGTTGATGATATTTACCCATTGTGCCTAATATTTTAGTCTAAAAGTCACCAAAGGTAAGTAAGATAGTGTATTAGTGCTCTTTTAACATTTATCTCAAATGCTAATCAGTAAAATCAGACAAAAATAAACACAATCATATGCAAACTTACATGTAGAATGTATTTGTAATAGTGGAACCACTCTGTGGAACTCAGGGGAGGAGGAAAGGAAAAGAAATGAGAGTCAACAACATTGGAATACTTTACAAGATATGTACTGAAAGCTGTTGAATAAGGGGGGAGATGTGGGGGAGGGAAGGGGTAAGAGAGAGCAATGGAAGGAGTTGAGCAGACCAAAGAAAACTACACTCACAGCAGGAATAAATTGAGAAACCAGCTTGAGCACTGACTTAGGGATGAATAACGAAGGACAGGACTGTAAAATAGGCACAGTGTGTGTATGTAGGAGTACTTGTGGGAGGGGGGAGGGCAAATGGAAGAGATGAAGTGAGGGAATATGGTTGATGGACTTCATATACATATATGAAATGGAATGATGGAACCTCTTGCAATGGCTTGAAGAAGGGGATGAGGAGTACATGGTGGGGCAATCTAACCAATGTATGATGTAAGGCTGTTCAGAATTGTCACAATGAATACCCCCTGTACAATGAATATATCCTAATAAAAATCGAAAGAAAAACAAAACAGCTTGCCAAATTCCATGAAAAAATAAAATAAAATCAGACCAATCATTCTAAAAATTAACCTCTATAAGGAAAAAATCATTTGTGTAATGCTATGTTGCATATTAATCAGCCCACCCACAGAACAGCAACCAAAAATCACAAAAAATCCTTCATTGAACACATAGTGTGCCAGGCAACAAAACAAATGCTTTCCTTATGCAACTACACTAAACTTCATAATAACTATGAAAGGTAAATATTAACCACCTCCTACTGTGCAGGGAAGGGATGCAAATTCAGAAAGCTAATTAAGGAAATTACTAAGTAACCAGAGGCTAACAATAACAAGCCAGACCAGCTGGCTCTGAGCTGGTGCTCTCCCCTCTTTAATCTCCTCCTTTTCAGGAAGCCCAAGCAAAAACATGCAGTTCAGCAACTTACTTCATGACCCTTTCTGTTTCTAATGAGACTTAAAGTTACCTTCGATTTGACAAACTTTCCATTTATCTTGTAAATATGAATTCACTGTTTTACCAAGTATTTACCTCCAGATACAGGAAAAGAATCTGAAATGAGACCTTGGGCTTTCCAGCCATGGTTTAAAGGCATGGGAGAGAAGGGTTCTGGTGAAATAAACTGTGTATTTATGTATTTGCTGCACTCACTGCCAGCCAAATGCCTCCAACACTGGGTCTCACCAGTACTTACCTTAAACTGGCGGATTGTCACGCGGGCATGCATTCCAACAGGGGAAGACAGGCCCAGACCTTCAAACTTTGGCTCTTTCTTGGGTGAGTGGATAGCAAAATGATCCCAGCATCGCCAAAGCCAAGGGATGGTTTATCAGTGAACAACTCCTAAAACAAAAATATGCGTTTCCTCAAGTGGCAAAGCTATTAGGCCAGTTCCACCTAAGTTTAGGATTTAGACTTCCACCTCCCATGTGACTTATCTAAGATCCATTACTTCACGTTGGTTTTCGATCTCTTTTTATGTTAACTTGTGTGAAAATTCCACAGTAAGACACACTTTTCATGATGGCATCAAGGCCGAGGCCCCTGCAGAAGTATGTTGGAGGACACATGTGTCTGCTGGTCCCTTTACTTCCTCTGCTTTCTCTCCATCTGGTAGCCTTTTAGGTGCTTCCTTCTTGGCTGTTCCCTTCCATGTATGTGCCTTTGAGAATCATTTGGCTATCTTCTCTTTAGTGGCCTTATTTAAAATTGAAATTTATTTTCCTATAATTGTGAATATTTATACTATTTCTTTAACACAATGTTCCTTTGATATAAATCTTATGTCAGGTAAAGATGTTTCAGACTGAGGCCTTGTCACTAGCTGAAATTCCTATTCTATAAATAGAAAGAATGGCCATGAAAATTAATGATTTTTTACTTATATAATTACCTTTAATAAATGTGTTTGATTGTCCATGTGTAACTCAGAGTCCTAGTTCTCCTAGGCCTTTACAAGTGCTCAGTCTGGTGAAATATCTTAGTGTCACTTACTTATAGAACATTGAATAGAATTTGGGTTTTTTCTATTTTTATTACATTTTATATAACTCATAAAATAGTGGTTGTTTAAAAATGCACAGAAAGTTGCTACAGAGCATATAATTTTCAAACCTGTCCTGGGTTTTTGTTACATTCAGTTTCTAAGGATGCACTTAAATCAAAACTATTCTCATTATTTTGTCTCCTCAGAGTATTCACTTTGATATCCACTTTGTGTAGGGTCTGATCTTAGTAGGAAGTCAGAAAAAACATGAATTTGGATATTTTAATTGCATTGTAAGAATATTTGGAAAATTCTCATTTGTAAAATTTATAATTAGCATTTGAACTGACTCCAGGTCTGATAGTTAAATGACTTAAAAATGTCAATCAAATTTTCAGTGTGAGTGTGGTTTTTGGACAGAAATGAAGTCATCGCAAATGGTATATATAGGTGGAAGTTATGGAGAGCACTTCAGCAAAAATTCTTTAAAAGCAGCCAGTGGTCTCATTTAGGTGGGTGGGAAGATAGGCAGTTTGGTAGGATTCAAGGCCAGGTTTATTTCTCTTTCTACTGTGTGTCAATTAAATATACACATGTAATTTATCAGCATTTCAGAATTCTCATTTATAAAATGTTGGTAATGGAGTAGAACACCTCTAAATGCATGAGTAGAAGAAGTTACGCAAGACAGAAAATGAGAATGAACCTTGAGTGGGAAGCATAGATCATGTCCCTTGAGAATGACTCCACTGCATTTCCTAGGTTTCTGACACGTGCATCCCAGGTCTAAACCCTTCAGCCTCTTAGACCAATTACAAAGGTAAGACAAAACAAAACCAAGTCAAAGAAAAATTATGCACTCAAATTAATCTTAATTAACTATGTACTGTAACTTAGAAATCTGCTTTCTTATTTTTGTCATGAACAATTTCTGGAGTCATGACAATGGAAGACATAGTAGGACAGCTAAAAATCTCCAGGTTATGTCTCAAAAATTTGCCCTTTAAATCTGTAAATCAACATTACATAGAATCCATTGGACCCTATACTAAATTGACCAAAGTTGAAATAATACCCAACTGGTGGGAGTTATTTGAAAGGGCACAATAATATCTTGATCAGATGTTTTTAATCCCATGTACCTCCTTGTTTGCCTTGACCCCTGTCTAGGTTGAAGAAAATTCAATACCTGATTGACATCGAAGAGCAATCTTAAGCCTCTTCCAGAAACACTCACTTTTTTCTTCCCTTGGATATTTTCACCATGATTAAATGTAAAACAATTTCCATACTCAGTGAAGACATGTTTAAAATCCTCCAATATGAAAATAAACCAAATAAAACATGGTCAGTTGAATTAATTTCAGCACTTCTAAAGTTTAAATTGCTCTAATGCTTTTTTAAATTATAGATATATAAGCAAGAATGCATGTAATCATGATGACATGCATGTATTTAATAACAGTTTCATTTTTCAAGTATGCAATTTGTGTCAATTTGCATGTGATTTTTCAAATGAGATTTTCACATATAATTAAGCATGTTTTTACAACATTTACAAAATAAGTTGTTCTAGGTTTTCCTAAGGATTCATGGAATATATGCTTTCTGCAGTGAATGGATTCAACATCTTTTATTTGAGGAAGTACCCCTCTGTCATCTGTATGTTCACAGTAGAGCAGTCATGTTACTCTACTCTTTGACCTCCTCCTCCTCCAACCTCATCCTTCCACTATGAAGGTGTGCGTGTGATAAAAGCTGGACCGATCTAGGTATCCTACTCTCTTGCCTCAGTGATTGGCTCAGGAATTGCTGTGTCCCAAGTAGAGATAATCAGAGACTTCCATGGGATTATTATGTGGATATTAGAATGTTAACCTATGCCAATGAAAGCCTAAGGTTGCCTGCAGCCATTTTGGCTCTATGTGGCAGGAACTCACCCAGAAAGAAGCCAACCAGGATTATAAGGCTGAAACAAAAAAGAAATCTAACCAATGGGCTTAGAATCCCTTTGTGAGAGTTTTCTAACACCAGTCCTTACTTTTAGAATATCGAGTTAATGAAACCAATCCATTCCTTTTACTTTGTAGCTTACTAGTTTTGGGTGTCTGTAATACACAAATGAAAAATTCATCCTAATACAAGATAGAAGATCTTCTCTAAATTAAGAGTTTTTAAACCATCTCTGTTAATGATTTTCATTTCTTTCAATTGACTCACCGGCATTTTTTTTTTTTTTTTTTGTCTACTGTCTCCTTGGAGATTGGTAAATTCTGATGAGGAATTGCAGCCTAGAACCATGAATTTGTGAAGTTTTCTTAGAACCACCAAACAAGACAGAATTCATGATATAGGAAATACAGGATAAAGTTGCTTATAAATCTCTTTATTAATAGATTCTAGGTATTCTGTACTTTGTCTTATATAAGGTTAATTATACAAGTAATAAAACAATTTACATGTATTATGAGTCAGTATATTATTATACATGAGAAGTATAATTCTCACAGTTTCATGCTATAGCACTGTAATTTCCTATATCCTCTCATAAAATACCACAAGCACAGAAACAGAGTGATGGAATAGGACATTGAAGAATCAGAAAGGATAAAAGACACTCTTCTGTTGAGTTGGAAAACTCTTTCTTTGGAAGACCTGTGCTGTAAGAAAAAGCATCAAAACTTCCGTTCTTAATCCTTCCTAACTAACTTCTTGAAAGGAGAAATTTGTCTCATATGGAATCCACGTCTCCTGATGTTATAAAACAAAAGGTAACTAGCAGAGCTAATGAAATATAATAGGTGAGTCAATTTAGATTGATTCCCCAAGGGATTAAATTTTGTCTCAATGTGTACAAGTAGCTCATTATCTTGATGATATTTGAGAAATTTGAAATCATTACCTTTGGGCCACATGGCATTCCAAAAAAGTCACAGTCCAACAAAGTGCTATTATCAAGATAAAAACCATTGTTCTTCACAAAGTCTGTGATGCTGAAGTTTTGGTGACTAGTAATGAAATGAGCAGCCTCCTCAGGTTTGGTGGAATTGATTCTGATTTCCTGAATATGGAGAACTTTGGAGACCATATCCCATAAGAAAATAACAATGCCAAATCTAGCTACAGCAACTGTTTGGAACCTAGTAGTAGGAAAAAAAGGCAATGATCAGAATAACAAAACTTGAAATTATTTAGGTGACAGAGAACACTCTGTCGGTTTCTTGTATACTCTCCCTCATTCACAAGATGTTCTAAAAAGTTTGTGACACATAGTGCAATTTGTCTTTCACTTGCACAGTTTCCTGGACTGGGAATGCCTCCCACACCTTGATCTGGATGAGTCCTAATTGATCCTTAAGATCCAATTCTTCCTTCAAAGGCAGAGGTGGGAATGTGTAGTTCCCAGGAGTCAGATTTGCTGGGTTCCAACGGCAGCTGTGCCATTGTCGTGGATTTGTTCTGTCTGCTTAGTTAAGCTGGAACCATGTTTCCCTGCATTCACATCCTCATTTGGATGTGGTTAGATGGTTTTGATACCCAAACCATCTAGCCCATCTGTTGACCCAACAGGGTGGAATGAGCAGCAGTCAGGGTGGTAATTCTTGTCTAATAATCTCCTCCAGCTTCTTCAAATCCTAGGACAGGGTAGAAAGAGTCCCCCATGGTGAAGAGGCCAACTTATCCTGCAAATCACTGGACTCATCAAGATCAGAGGCAGTGAGGGAGTCATCCATTTCGCTTCTTTCCCCAATTCACACCATTTTCCCTGCTGACTGAAGCCTTGCTGACTTCAGGTCCAGCACCAAAAACAGAAAGACAGACATACGGGAACTGTATGACTGAGTAGAACTTATTCCCTGTAGTGTCCCCTTATTCTGTGTCATCCTCACTGCTTTCCTTATTCGTGCAGCCCTGATGGTTATAGCTAGTTAATGTATAACAGCACATCACCTCAGTCTCCTGCCATCTCATTTCCTCACTTGTGAAACTGGTATGTAATAACTACCTTGAAATAATAGAAATTAATTATTTCTCTGTTAGGTAAGTGTTCACTAGATTGATGTCCCCATAATTGTCAGAGTTTTCCTAGTGATCAAAGCAGAAACAATCTATTTAACATACCTGTTACATTGCTCTGTAATCAATTCTCTTGTTTTGCTAAGCAATTCATTTCTATCGTCCATTCAAGATAAATTGTTTTTTTTCAGTTTTTCTGAGACAGGATCCCACTCTGCAGTCCCAAAAGGCCTAAAACTCCCAATCCTCCTGTCTAAACCTCCCAAGTGCTGGGATTACAGGCAGTGCTATCACACCTGGCATGTATAGATCTTCCTTAGCATTTCTTATATTCTCTTCCAAATGTGACTGATATTTTCATATTTTGGATATGATAGACATTGAAGCGAAAAAAAGTCCTTTTCAAATTGGCTGCTAGAAAGTATAGAATGAAATGTGTAGCCCACTTTTATGTACAGTCACATGGTGTGTGCTCATAGGCTATTCCTGAATCTCCTTTAGGTCCTAGACTTTTAAATTTTGTTTTCTTTTAAAATTATTAAACTGATATATAAAAACATACACTTATACATATTAGTGGGATAATACAATAGGTGAATACATGTATACATTGTGCAATGTTTAAATCTGTTTAAACATATCTGTCTCCTCAAACATGTCTTTTCTTTATGATGAAAATTTTCAAAACCCTCTTCTAGTTTTTTAAATGTATAGTACATTATTGTTATCTATAGTCACCTTACTGTGCAATAGCATATGGACTTCTCATCCTAGCTACAAATTAGTACCCCACCTTTCCATATATCTCCCTCCCCACAGTGCTCCCCAAGCTCTAGTAACCACCATTCTACTCTCAACTTCTAAGAGATCAACTTTTTTTGTTCTCTATGTGAGTAGATTATGCAGTTCTTGTCTTTCTATGCCTGGCATATTTCACTTAACATAGTGATCTCTGGTTCTAACCATAGTTTCATTTATCATGGCTGAGTAGTATCCCATTGTGTACTACATCTTCCTCAGCCACTCTTCAGCTGGTGGCATTTAGGTTTCTTCCATCTCTTGACAATTGTGAATAGAGCTTCAGTGCACATGGGAATGTAGGTGTCTCATCTGTGTATTGATCGACTTTGGGATAAATACCCAGTGTTAGATTGTTGGATAATATGATAGTTCTAGTTTTAATTTATTTTCTTCCACAATGACTGTACTAATTTACATTCCAGCCCACACTGTGCAAGTGTTCCCTTTTCTCCACATCTTCACCAGCACTATTTTTGTTTGTCTTTTTGATAAGTCATTCTGACCAGAGACATGATACCTCCTTGAGGTTCTGTCCTGCATTTAATTGTCACTTCCCTTTATATTTCCTTTTGCACATATCTAATTTTTCCTTCCAACATAAACCATATTTAATCCTTACCAAATGAATTAGAGCACATGCAAAGCAAAACCGCTAAGCTAACATTAAGTAGCATTATGTTATATTTTAGAGACAACAAACTATTTCATGAACAGCATATAATACAACTTTAACCAGCCTGATGCTGCAGTTTTCTAAAGAAGTACAAATGAACAAAAATCTATGAAGAAAAGTTCAACATCCTCAGCAGTAAAGGAAATGCAAATCAAAACCCTGAAATTCCATCTCACCTCAGTAAGGATGGCTATTATCAAGAAAACAGACAACAATGCTGGTGAGGTTGTGGGGAAAAAAGGAACCTCCAGGCAGTGTTGGTGGAAATGTAAACTATGGAAATCACTGTGGAGGTGCCTCACCAACTGAAACTAAACTACCATCAGATCCTGCTATCCTCTCCTGAGGCATATATCTGAAGATGCAAGTCAACATACAGTCAAGACACCTATATATCCATTCCCAATAGCCACAGTGCACAATCAGCCTAGGTGCCCATCAACCAGTGCACAAAAAAAGAAAATGCAGTCTATATACACCATAGAGTATTACTCAGACATAAAAAATGAAATCATGTTGTTTGCAGGAAAATGGATGAAATTGGAGACCATAATGTTAAATAAAATAAGTCAGATTCTGAGAGACAAGTACTGCATGTTTTCTCTCCTGTGTGGAATCTAGATCCATAAATACAAAAGGACATGCAAACAAAAAGACAAACTCTAAAGGCAGGAATGTGTGTGAGTGTGGGCAGGGCAAATGAATGTGAAGGGAGGGTAAATACGATTAAAACAACCTCCTTCCCCCAAAAACAGATCAGTCAAGACCGGTCCAGACCAACAGCACTGTTCAGTAGCCCACGGACTGCTGAGAAATATAAGTCGGGATTTTACGCTGCTTAGAATTTTTTATACAGCATTTTTTCTTTTTTGGCAGTACTGGAGTTTGAACTCAGGGCCTTGCACTTGCCAGGCAGGAACTCTACCGCTTGAGTCACACCCACAGCCCTTTTTGCCTTAGATGCTTTTTAGATAAGACTCTTGCGTTTTTCACCCAGGCAGCCTGGACTGCAGTCCTCCTACTTATGCAGGTATACACCGCTGTACCCAACTTTACTATTGTTGAGGTCTCCTTAACTTTTTGCCCAGGTTGGCCTTGCGCCACTATCCTCCTGATCTCCACCTCCTGCGTAGCTGGAATTACAGCAGTGAGCCACTGTGCCTGGCCTATCCAGCATTATTTATCAATTGAAAACAGAAGCACTTTTAGGGAAAAGAGGAGGTATTCAAATATGAATGCAAGATTTCCACACTTGCTGTTTATAATCACAATCATTTCATTATTATTAGTAGTAGTACATTCAAAAGGGTTTTTTGGGGGTTTTTTGCAGAGCTGGTTTTTGAACTCAAGGCCTACACCTTGAGCCACTCCACCATCCCTATTTTTGTGAAGGGTTTTTTTGAGATAGGATCTCACAAACTATTTGCCTGGGCTGGCTTTGAACTGCGATCCTCATGATCTCTGCCTCCTGAGTAGCTAGGAATTACCGACATAAATCACCAGCAAAGACAATGCAAGGAAATTTCATTGTTCATTATCTATAGAATGAAAATATAATAGAGAAGTTGGATTGCTGTATATTTGAGGTCTGAATTTTACTTGTTTATTTAACTATGTAATCTATCATCTTTTATTTTATTGACAGTGGTGGAGTTTGAACTCAAGGCCTTACACTGTAAACATCTTTTTTGAGAACCTCAATTCTAATTCAGAAAAATACTAATCTGTCTCTCTATAGCAGAGTGCCTGCCTAGCAAGCACAAGGTCCTGGTTGTCTCCTGCTTTGCAAAAGAAACGTTCCTTAGGTACCTAAGGAAGGTTTTCCTTAATATTTTATTTAAAATAAACTGATGAGTATAGTAAAAGAAAGTTATAATAAAAAATAGATTGATTTTTTTTTAAACAACATAACTGGTAGACAACCTTTAAATCTGTCCTTCTTATGTGTAGTAATGCTTCCAAACTCACGTTTTGAAATTGTATAACCCAAATAAAAATGTTCCATATGATTGCCAAGTTGAGGAATGCATCAGCCCTTCCAGGAGCCCGAACAAGACAGAGCCAAGTGTCACATGCATGAACAAGAAATGTGAAATCACAGGGAACTTTGTGTGTGATGGAGGGTGAACTGGGAAGAACGGTTCTTTTGATTCCCATTTTGAGCTAGTTTTAACATCTCACCAGTTTTCTCATTAACTAACAAAGTATTCCGTATAAATTTATTTATATTTGTTGGAGACTCATGTTTACCTTTCATCAAAAATCTCCTAATATGCATGTGTACACATAGACACAAAGGCACAGCATTTACACAGATTGGGAATAAACAAAAAAGCCAAGGATAATAAAAATGAAGAAACAGAACTTGAGTTACCTGTGCTGCACCAGTACTTACAAAATTACAAAATCATTACCTCGGTTTTAATAGAAGGAAATAAATTTCAGAAGTTTTGACCAAATACAACAGAACTTAAGATATTTTAGTGGAAAGTTTCAACACAAAAATATTTAAAAGTCACTAAAATTGATTCCAGGTAAAAAAAGGCCTGAGCAGTATTTCAATTTCTGGAATTTATTGTGAAATTTGATACTTATGAACCTTTGTCAAATGTACCATTGAGTTTCAAATCTTCCTATTGGCATAGCCATTGCTTGATGTAAAAGAAAATTTTTAAAATTGAAATAAGTAGGTATTTTTAATAAATTATAAGTGAATTTGATTGAAAATCTGACCAGGCTATTTAACATTAATATAAGAAGAAAATACTGGACATTTCATTAAATATATTGAACATGACAGAGAAGGTTCATTTTGATGAAGTCATAAACAAATTGGAAAAATGGTGAAAATGGAAATACAATACAAATATTAATTACTGCAACAGACAAAAAAGGCATATCCTTAAAAAAATACATTCATGTAGCAAGTATTGATGTGGGGGGCTGGTGGAGTGGCTCAGGAGGTAGAGTGACCACCTAGCAAGTGTGAGGCCCTGAATACAATCCCCACCACCAAAAGAACTATTAATTTATTTCTTTTTTCTTAATTTTGTATACTTATTTTCATATCTTTTATTGCAATGAAGATACATATGCCATTATTATCACTTGTTTGACTATATGGCTATTACTGAAAGTAGTTTTGTCATATGGGGAGGATGGGGGAGAAAATGATCTCCTTTGACTTTTTCTTGCCCCTGGTACCTATTATAAAGCATAAAACCTTCTTGACAATCCTAAGAACATTGGCAAAGTTTCCTTATGTCAAACATCAAATTCCTTCTGATGAAGTAGGAATTTGGACTTGTTTTACAATTCCTAATGTGGTGATGTTAAGTAAAGAGAAATATTTATGATGGGTAGGGTGCTGCTATTCCATGCAGTCTCCCTCTTATGTGACCAATTACTTTTCTCCTGATGCTTTCAAATTATTTTCCTTCCCCTTGGTTTTCAGCATTTCAACTATGATATGTCTGGTGTTAATCTCTTTGCATTTATCTTATTTGACATTTGTTTAGCTATTAGATGTGTAGATTAATGCTTATCAGCAAATTTGGGGAGTGCTAAGGCATTCCTTTTCTGTATATACTTACATATATACTTATATATCTTCCTTTCTGTCTTCCTACTGGTACTCTCATTTTCACATTCTTGTGCTTAATGTTGTACCTCATTTTTGAGGCTGTGTTCCTTTTTCTTCATCCATTTTCTCCTGTTCTTCAGATCACATGCATTCTGTCACCTGTATTCAAGTTTGCTGATTGTTTCTTCAGTCAATTCTAACCTATAGCCAAGCAGCTCCAGTGGCTCTAGTGGACTTTTCATTTCACTTATCATACTTTTCAACTCCAGAAGTTCCATTTGGGACTTAAATATCACTTTGATATTCTTATTGGCATTATTTATCTGATGAGAGACTGTCATTATGTTTTCCTTTACTTCTTTAACCATGGGTTATGCATTTATGCACATATTTATAATAGCTACTCTGATGTCTCTGCCAAGAGTGATATCATCATCAATAGCTTCTGTGCCTGCTTTTTTATACTGTGTATGAATGACAGTTTCCTACTCTTTGGTAAGTCTCATAATTAACTTTTAAAAGCTTCAAATTTGAGATAGTATATGGTAACAAATATGAGTTCTGATTGCATTAGGTTCTTGGGGCTGCAATAGAATTATTATAAACTCAGTGGTTTAAATTAACACAAATTTATTCTTGCTCATTTAGTATACAGAAACCTGATGTCAAGGTATTCACAGGGCCCTCCTAGCTGTGAGAGTTCTGGAGAAGAATTATTTCCTGATTTTTCCAGGAATTGGTGACCCTAAATGTTCCTTGTCTTGTGATAGGATAGCACAATCACATGGACTTTTCCCCTTTGTATCTCTCTGTATCTTCTGTCCATATAAGCTCATAGTAACTTAACTAGTTACATCTTCAGACCCAGTTTTCAAATAAAGTCATGCTAATGTTGCAGCAGACATGAGCTTTGGGGTGACACTATTCTGCTGATTATATTAAATGCCCCCTCCAAGCTTGCTATTGGTCTTTTCTACTGTTTTCTGGTAACATAATGAAGCTATTAGCTTTCTATTAACTGGTTTATATATACATATATATTCATTTTTGAGTGTGTCACTGGGCTTGGATTTCATTTTACTCAGTTATAAGCAGTCAGTTCCATTAAGGAGAGCTCTGAAGTTCTCTGTCCTTATGGCCTGCCTCTTCTGAGAAAAGTCTCTACAAGAACAGTTCCAGGTAAGGTACTGATTTCTGGTTCTCCAACCTTGCCTCTCCCACTGGGAAGCCTCTAGTCTATGAGCAAACTGGTGTGAGTGTGACAGAATATTTTCACACTACCACCCTAGGGGTACAGCCATCACCTTACAAATAGGAGTCACATGGAGGAAGGTTATCCCAACTTCTAAGCTGTGCTCATCTGGAATTCAGCCTCTGGAATGCAGAGTTGAGTTGGATTGAATGAGAATGGTTGGCAGCCTCCACCTCCTCAGGCACACTGAAGCACTTGGCTGAGTGTCCTGGGCTAAACCCACCTGTCTGTCATGCTCAGACAAAAGGGGGGAGAGAGGAAGAAGTTTGTGGTTCAAGTTCTGTAGACTTTCACTGTTGTTACTAACATTTAATAGATGTTGCTGAATAAATATTCCTTCATTTGTGGTATTCTCTTCAGATAATTTTCACATATTTTGCTTTAAAAAATATTTTTACCAGTTATAGTTGTGTCCCTGGGGACAAAGTCTGTGGAGCTCGTCAAATCGTCCTTTTGGAAATGGCATCCATATTTTCTTTCAACTAAGGAAACCTGCATCCAATCTTTGCTTTTGTTGGAATGCATTCCATTTAAAATAATCTGAGTCAACGAAAGTTGAAAGTCTTTTTTTTTTTTTCTTGGGAGAGGACTGATTTATTTTTGGTTTCTGAGACCTTGATACATATGTTGAGTTCTTGGAATATTAGCAATCACACAAACCTGCTAAAGTATGTGTAATATATTAAGCACTTGTTCCAGAATTACCTCCAAAATTAAACAAAATGGAGTACATATTACCTCATCTGATGCAATAGAAAATATGTAAAGTACTTGATATTATGTTTTTTGGGGGCCATACTGGGGATTGAACTCAGGGTCTTGCTAGGCAATTATCTCCTGCTCGAGCCACTCCCTCAGCCCTTACTTCATTATATATATAAACTACAAAAAGGAAGTGAATTGTCCATGGTTGAATAGCTGACAATGGGAGTTCCTAAGGAGCTCTTCCCCACCCCTGGCAAAAAAATCCTATATGAGAGCCTTTAAGTATCACCATTAACAGTTTCAAGGCTTTGCCTGTGAGGCTTCATGGAAGCTCCCCGCCTCACTGCAGACCTGGTGCACAGTTAGTGACTTGCTGCTTTCTGGAGTGAGTTGCAATCAATGACTCAAGAAATGGCCCAATCATCAAGTTCAATGTAACACTTCTACACTCAGGGTTCTGTGCAGCTGCCCGGGTTGCAAGCCTGTGGAGCTGGCCCAGCCTCCACTAGGTGAAATGCCTTGTCACACATACACCAGAGCATTTCATGCCCATGTGCTTGCAGTGAATGCTCTCTTCTGTTTCTTCCTCATCTCCAACAGGAACTTCTTGCTAGGACACATCCAGACTTCCAAGACTACCCACTTACAGACTCTCACTGTGTTCTTTGTGCTCTCAGAGCCCTGACACTTATCATTATTCTATCATGCAATTACCATGTTACCTTGAATTGATTATGTTTCTCTTCTTTTACTAATTAACAAACATAAAGTGCAGAAATACAGATTTTTATATCCATCCAACCATAAGGTTTGATACTCACCTGGCATATAACTGCAGAAAGAAGGAAGTAAAAAATAAGGAAGATAAATAAAAGGAGAAATTAGTAATTTTCTTTACTTCCTGAAATTTGTACTTTTAAGTACAATTTAAATGCTTCAATGGTAGCCAGGCAAGCTGTCACAAACCTGTAATCCCAGCTATTAGGGAGGCAGAAATTGAGAAGATTATGGTTTGAGGCCAGCCCAGGCAAAAAGTTAGCAAGACCCCATCTCAACCAACAAGCCAAGTGTGCTGGTTCACTGCTGTAAACCCATGTATTCTGGAGATGTAGGCTAGAGGATTGTGTCCCTAGCTAGCTCTAGGCAAAAACACAAGACTCTATCTGAAAATTAACTAAAGAAAAAATGGCATGGGTAAGAGAACCCACCTAGCAAGTGCAAGGGACTGAGTTCAAACCCCAGTATCACCAAGGTTTCAAGATGTTAAACATCACATAAGAAAACTCTACCTCAATCATCCAAGTAAGGTCATACTAGCAAACTGATAATGACTAAAAGAGTAACTTTTACCTGTTCAAGTTACAAAATGTCACAGCTGGGAACTCGATCTTCTCCACGTATTGCATCTCTATTGACGTCGTGGTTGGCCACATGAAGAAGTTAACCAAGCGACTGTAGATCTGCCAAACCACAAGTGACACCGAGCCCAGCACCACTGCCAACCAGATGATCTTGCGAACTCTGCTGCGGTTCTGAACGATATTGTGTACCCCATGAAAGGAGGTGGACATGGCAAAGTCATAGTCAAACTTCTTTCGGTCACTGGGAGATGGCAGTGGTTTCTTTGAAAGGTAAAGTTTCATCTTTTCTAAGGGTCCTTAACGTTTTGCCCATAAATAATTAGACAAAAAAAAAGTCATGAGTTAGGAAACCACAATGCTGCCTGTGAAAAACACAAGTCACACATGGTTAATGTAATTCATTAGGCTACCCTCTTTGTGTGTAATTCATGAAGTCTCGAGATTCAGCTTCCATTGGATGCTGATTCAGGAATCAATACGTACAGTTGTTGGCTACTTGGATCTAGTCACACCCTGCTAATGCTATTCAGAGAAGGCCTACTGCTGACGCAAAGGTTTAGCTTCTCATAGGAACGTGTGGCTACTTCCAGCTTCAAATTCCACCTGCTTTGAATGGATTGCTTAAAATAACTCATAATTTTTTTAAAATGATATTTGAAAAAATAACTCGAGAAAGAATTCTGAGCAAAGTAAGGCTTATTCTTCTGAGAGTTGTAAGTGATGCTACAATTAGTTCTTCAATCAATCTTCACTCTATGGTGGGATAATTGGTGGTGAATGCAACCTCCATTCTTCATAAGCTTTGTCACATGATCATTTTATTTCTCTGTCAATTATTTAGTGAGAATGTTTAAAGTGGTATAATTTGTTAACTAATGTATGACTTACCTTTTTAGAAAATGCGTTCATCCTTTTTGAGACTGTCAACAATCAATCAAATAATGCTTATTGATATTGGTTGGAAGCAACCAGGGAGGGTTACACTAAAACATTTGGGGTAATATAGAACATATTTGGACTGCTCTTTTGACCATCTGTCAGCAGAAGATCTCATGCCTCCAGTGGCTGAGGGAGGAGTATACTGTGATGACAAGGATAAGTGGCCTTTGTAAGGGCAGCATCTGCTTCTTGGTCCAGCCTCCTCTCTTGTAACCTATGCAGCCTCAGCAGAGCTCCCTAATCTTGCTTCTACCTCCTCTATCAAAAGGCAGCTGGAACACCTGATACCTGAAGGAGGCCCAGCACATTACCTAAACCACGATAAGTATTCAATAGTTCTCAATATTTTGATTATTGTACTGATTTTTAAGAAATGAGCTCTTAATGGCTTCACAAGTCATCCAAATAAGGTCAATTGACTTTTGCATTCATTCCTTTAATTCAAGAAGTATTACTTTGTAAGTGTCAATACTATCTGGTATTAATTTTCTCCCAAAGTTTCCAAAATCTATTTATCATTCAATCAGAATTTTTGATACTTTCTCAATCCCCAACCAGTTAGCTAAGCTTTTTGTTCAGTTACAGGATATATAGTGATATGTAAAAGGTACTTATCAACATTTTCTAAGGTATTCCATTTAATTTGCAGCTTGGACTCATAAATTATATCATGATTATCATAGATATTATGCACTATGAAGCAATGATGTATTCATATGATTTGCTTGAAGTTGTACCACAACCTTCCAGTAGCACCCACAGAATGTTCTTTCTGGTATCAAGTTAGTTAAAATATATAAAATACTTATCAAAGTCTCCCTTAGTAGGGAGGAAGAAGTTATCGTTCTTATTGATTAATAATGTAGTTCCAACTAAGATCTCTTGTGTATCACTTAGCCATTACTTACAAATACATATGAAGAATACACACTGAAAAAAAATGACTCCGTCCCTGGAGGGCCTTCACCCTTCCTGAGAAAGGATCAAAACTCCAGTGGGGATGGATAAGCAGGCCAGCTGGCCGAGCAAAGTATGGCTGGTTACAAACATGACCATAAAAATTTAAGTTTCTGGTTTACCTTTCAAAAACAGCTCATTCAGTACAGGCCTACTCCTTGCCCATTGGTTCAGCCTTAGTGAAGTATTATCAGTCTTTTGCTAGAGATTTAATAGTGTTTTTAAAAAAAGTATTTTACAGAAACAGTGAAGAAGCCAGGTGATGCAAGCCTGTCACTAAGATTAGAATTGATTTAATAAATGGCCTACTGCCCACAAAGCAGGACTTCTTACTCTCCAGAGAGAATCAAATGCTGTGTAATTATGACAAGCAGCCCTGATGTTGACTGTTGGGCATCACAGACATACTCTGAGGAACACAGAGTTTTGTTGTGTTTTAAAGTAAAACCCGCAGAACGTGACAGATTAAACCAAAAGAAACAAAGCAAAACAAAACCAGATTCTACTATGTAATGATCTTTAAAAAATATTCTTGAGTCCTTCGTACAAATCACACTTTTCCTAAGTAACTAAAACTATATTACTCATTTTTAAACTCATATTACCTACATTGTATTCAAATACTATTGAAATCAGCTGTTTTCCAAATGAATAAAACATCCCCTTTGCTTTTTTCTGGCCTTTGGAAGTGAAAATTGTAGCTGTCATGACAGCTTTTCTTTTCCCTACCTTTCACAGCACAGACTCCTGATTTCTCAGTCTGCTCCATTTGTGACGGCAGTGAGAGGAGTCCTTGGGGTATATCCAATTTTTGTCAATACCAATATTCATTCCATGGCCTTTATATAAAATACAGCAGTTGAGGCTGTAAAATGTGGGGGCAATTTAAATATTTGTGTTGCTATGTTTTGCCTCATAAAGCAAATAATCTTGCAAGCCAAAAATGTTGAGAGAAACAGCAATGGGCATTATGGACTAAATGCGAAGTGACGGTGCAGTGAAGAGCAAAGAGTATCATTAGGCCCTGTATAGCTATCCTTATCTCAACCAGCAAAACCCCTTGTTCCTTCCTATTATTGCTTATACTCTCTCTACAACAAAATTAGAAATAAGGGCAAAATAGTTTCTGCTGGGTATTGAGGTGGGGGGAGAGGGAGGGGGCGGAGTGGGTGGTAAGGGAGGGGGTGGGGGCAGGGGGGAGAAATGAACCAAGCCTTGTATGCACATATGAATAATAAAAGAAAAAGGAAAAAAAAAAAAAGAGTATCGTTAGGAAGGAAACCATTGTCTCCAACAAAGGAAAGTCTGGCAAGGAGACAAGGATCCGTTCTTTTACAGTGAGCGGCCTCCGACCAGACTGGTGAGACTCTGAGGTGACCCACCTGGAACTGTCTCCTCAGGTTCAAACTTTACATTTCTCTTTGAGCAACTTTGAATCAAAACACAGCTGGAATGGATTCTTTTGTGGGAAAAATACCTTTTCTTGAAGTTTCTTTTTTAGGAAAAGTTTTTTTGTTTTTTTTTTTTTGTTTGTTTAACAGAAGCAGTAGCTAATGAAAATGACAAAATAAAATACCAGAAAACATCAACTGAGAAAGAAACAATTATATAGATAATATAAATTTAACAAAACAAAAAGACCAATTTTTTTCGTAGTAAACTTTTGAGAAATTAGAATTCATTCTCTTACTTAACTGGAGCCTATGCATTATCATGTATAAATGCTGCCACCTATTGGCAGAAGTAAGGAATAGCATGTATCTCTCTACTTTCCTGATACAGCTGCCATGCTAATACTTCTTCTTCTTTTTTATTATATATATATTTTACTAACTTATATTAATTGTACAAAGAGTCTTCACTGTGATATTGCCAATGAATATAATGTACTTTAATCACATTAGCCCCTTCTATTTCTCTTTTTTATCCCCCCAACTGATTTTTAATGGGTTTCATTATTCTGTTTTCTTACAGGCATATGAAGTACTTTGATTATATTCACCCTCCCTCCTGCTTCTGCTGGTTCCACCAAACAGTTCCTATCATTCAATTTTATATTTAATAATCATCAAATCACTATTGACATGGTTACATGTATTTTACATATGAACCTGTCTGTGCACAATCTCTTCTTTTGGGTTAACTTACAAACTTAGGTAGTCTTAGAATTCAGGTACTCCTGAGAGGGATCATAGTCAACTCATCTGCTCACTTGCCCTCCTTGCTTGTCTTTCTTCTTTCATTCTTCACAACATCTTTCCCCAAGTCTCCATTAGTGTGTCATTATTCACTGTTTGAATTGCTAAGGGCAGGGCAATTGCTTTAAATTGGGATCCACCTCGTAAGAATTCCATCCATTCTGCTTTGGATGGAAGTGTGGGAAGTAAAATCAAGGGTAAGATAGGTAGAGTCCTCCGAAGCCACTATTTCTGCTCCATAATTTATCCAAGGAGTAGGGACAGACTTGGTTAAAGTCCACTTATCTACTGCCTCACTTTCATCATTGCCTCCTTCTTTTTGGCCATAGCCTAGTGCTTTGTGCAACAGAGAAACAAAGTTGAGAAAGATGGAAAAGAGGAAGGCAAGAGCTTCCATTTCCTCCCTGGAGAAAGCAGGAAAGGTCCATGAGGGTGGGAATTTTGTATAGCAGGGAAGACAAGCAATAAATATGTGGTGAATGACTGAGAAATTCGTTCCAGCCATGTACTGTTTTTACTATACCCCTCATGAAGTAAGACAATTATCACAAGTTTTTTCAGCATTTTATTTTGAAAATAAAGCTATATAACAGTAAAGTTATGCAAACTGGCTTATCTTGGGAACTGGACATAGAACACAGGTGGATTAGATGACAGGCTCTGAGGCACCTTGGGGCAAGCACTGGAAACTTTCAAGAAGGAGCTGAGCCACACTCACTGAGAAACAGCTGGAACATGTGAATCCATACCCACACTACAGCCTTAGGAAAGAAATGGCCTCAAGGGCTGACAGTGTGGCTCAAGCATTGAAGCATATCCTTAGCAAGTGCGTCAAACCCCAGCGCTGCCAAAGAAAGAAAAGAAAAAGTGGCCTCAAAACTAAGAGGAGAGTGTTAAAGTGGAGGTGAATATGATTGAAGTATTTTATATGCATGTATGAAAATAGAATAATGAAACCCTTTAAAAGTTGTATAAAAGGCAGGGAGGAGGGATAAGTAAGAGCAACAGAGGTGAGTTTGATGAAAGTACATTGTATGCATGCATGGAAATACCACAGTGAAATCCCTTATACAATTAATATATGCTAATAAAAAAAGAGAAACAAACACACACACACACACACACACACACACACACACACAAACACACACAACTGAACAACAGTACTGCAGGCTTGGTTCATGAAGCACAGAGCAAAACTCAAGAAAGCAAACCATAATCAAAGACAAGAAGTTCTGTATCAGTGGTCTGTGGAGCTGAGAGCAGTCCTTCGAGGAAAATTGTGAACACACCACCCACGCTGCCTAAGGGCACCTGCCCTGTACTCTAGATTTATACAAGCCACACAGAACCCTCATTCCAGCTCATCAGAAGCCCCATATTTGTCCCCATCAACCCCACAAAACAGTCCACACTGGCTGTGGCAATAGATTTCCTCCATCCCATTTGGACTCTCTAAGCTTCATTTCTCCTCCTTTGGACTCTATCTGTGTAGGGAAGAGAGAGAAACTAGACCCAAAGGCCACATGTGTTGTAATGATTTATAATGATTCCAGCACAAGAGAGTATTTCCCAACTATTAGGAACAAACTAGAGATAAGCACAGCAACATGGATCTATTTCAGGAACATTATGTTGCATGAAATAGAACTAGACCCCAAAACCACTGTGATGCAGAGAGCAATGCCCCCACATGCTGGCATTTTCTGGTGGCAGAATCAAGGCTCCCTGCTCTTCTCTCCTTTCTCCCCTCCCAGGCAGGATGAAGCCCTCTGCAAATTTCCCTTACCTGTCCACAGTCTGGACCCACCAAAGAAGCAAACAATTGCCTCTAGTACGTTCTTTGGATTTTCCTTTAATTAGACTCTTACCACAGGAAGAAAGACTGAAGAATGTCAACACACTTGGACTTCAGTCCCATACTATTGTCTTCATTTCATTCCCCAAGAGGAGCATTTATGATCCCACTCTGTTCTGTGGACCCAGTGGACATTTTCCCAGGCCTTTGTCTCCAAACCTACTGAATTTCCCTAAAAAGTCATTTACCATTTGCCCCAAATTCTCTTTTCTTTCCCTCCTTTACAGAAAAAAGGGTATATATATTCTTTGGGTTTATGGAAAATCACACTTCTGTGTTTTTTTCTCCTATACTGTGATTTTCTTCCCCTTTTGTTAAATTCGCATGTCTTTCCCCTCCAAAATTTAACCAATGAATACCCATTTGCTCTTCAACTCATTTCACCAATTTTTAACATTTTCCCACATGTGCTTCATCTTCAGCCCTAAGTACACAATCTTCTTATCTCTTAAGAACCAGGATATCCTCCGGAATAAATAGATCTCATTCAGGAAACTTATACTTTATGTAACACTGTCACTTAATATGCATCCCACATTCAAATTTTCTACATTCTTTCCCAAATTAACTTTATAGTATTCAATTTCCTCAATCCAGGATCAAATGAAGGATCATAAATCGCATTAAGTTTTCATGACTGTTTAGTTTTCTTTAATCCAGAAGAAATCCCTAGCCAGTAATTTGTGTTTTGTTTTTCTGTCTTCTCATTTTATTGCTATTTTCAAAGAGTTCATGTCAACCACTTTGCAGAATGCCTCTGCATTCAGAATTGTTCAGTTTAGTTTTGTGATTAGGTTCAGGGATAAAATTTATGGTAGGAGCCAGATAGTGATGTTTTCTTCTTCACAGTGCATCCCGTCAGGAAGCTCATGCTTTTTGTTCCTCCTGCATTTGCTGATGGCAAGATCTGCCAAGGAGATGACTGTAAGATTTTTCCTTTTGGGTTCTACCTTTTCTTTTATTAATAAGAGTAATCTGTGGAGGCAATTATTTGAGAAAGGAGCATCTTGTTCCTGATCTTTCATGGAATGGTTTTAGCATAAGTGAATGAATTGCATCAAAAAGAATTATTACTGTGGTGTTTACAAAATGATGACTTATTTATTTGTTGGCATTCTTGTGTAAAGAAGAGCTTTACCTTTTGATCTTCCTCATGTAAAGTAAACAAGGAAGATTTATTTTAAGCAACTCCTGGGTTGCTTTTAAATCTTATATATTGCAAATTATTTTGATGGTCATTCATTTAAGAAATTCTTAAATAATTCTTGAATAAGCCAGTTTACAGTACTTACTGCTATCTCATTTTCCACAGTTTTTTATTATGAGTAACTCAAAATATGTTGTAGAAGAAGAATATCGAAAACTTAAGAATTCAATTTGATAATGATTTAGATTCTGATTAACCAATTTAAAGAATCATTATTCTCGGGTCTAGAAAAGGAGACCCCGATCATGGTCATCTTAGCTCTCAATTATTTGAGTGGTTATGGAGAGAGGTAAGGCAACACATGGACATACTAACTTCCAGAAGTCCTTTTGAAATAACTCAATAGTGTTATGCGTGTTATGCATGTCCTAGACTTTTCTACCAGACATCTTAGAAACTAAACTTCTAAACTGCTGGGTAAGGAAAAAAGTGCATCTCATCCTTTCTATTTTCTTACTCTATTTTTATTACTTACTGTAGCCAACAAGATGTTGAATTTGTTAGAT